GGCTGAGAACCTACTGGAATCCCACGGAAAGGCTAAGGAAGATAAAGACCAGCCACTTTTACTTATGATGGAGCTTAAGGAAGTTATCAGCATGCGGTGTCGGTTTTCTGAACAAAGGAGGAATTAGGGGAATGCAGGGGACAGCAAACTTTCCCACGGAGTTAGAATTATCACAATGGGTTCTTTTAGACTGAATTCTGAAGTTGGAAAGATTTTGAACATACAACTAAGTTTTCATGTGCAAATATGGATTTGTGGGAAAGCCAAATAATATCAAAACCAAACAATACTGAAAGGTTGTCAGTATTTTATGAAAAGATAAATCAGCTTCTTAAATTACTTGAATAAAAGTCATTTGACACAAGTACTGTTGTTCACTATTTTCTCCTATTTATATGTCAAAATGTCTGCTGAATGAAAAGTATCAAAACCAAGTTTTAAGAAAATATTAAGCTAGCATGAAATCATTCAGTCCAGTGCAAGAAATAGATAAAGCATCCTTAGTCCTCTTATTGTTGAATTTACTGAACTAAAATCAAGGATCTTTCAGAGTGTTCACACGTCGTCCTTGTTGCTATGTTTGCAGAATTACCTTTGTGAGATGGTGGCATCAGTGGTGGAAGTACCCCCAGGAATTGTGGGTAAAGAACACATCCTGTTCGGCAACATTGAGGAGATCTACAACTTTCATAAGGAGTAAGAACTTGGAGTTGCCCCGTTTCTCGCTCAGAATGGGTCAATCCATTATTTTAAACTCTATTTCCTGTAATGAAAGCAAAGACTATTCAAAAGCACTCTGAGCACCGTGGCTCGCTGCCTGAAGAAACCTGCAGAGAGGAGACAGGGAGGAACTTTTTCTTGCTAGTGGGATGAAAACTGAGGACAAATATTCCAAAACAGAAAACCCATGGAATCAGTTAGGAGCTGAAAAACCCAATCCATACATTGATCTACAGGATCTGATCCCAGACCCTAATCCCGTCTTACTTGTGATCTACGCTCATATCCCACTCAAACTAAATTATAGCTTGCTTATTCTCGACTCTCCAGGAGTTTCTCAAAGACTGATTGTACTGGAGTTTGTGCCCTTAAATGTAAAATTTCTTAAGGCTTGTAAAGTGTGAACGGACAACTGTCCCAAAAGTTGGTTTATGAAAGACAATATCGTAGAATTTTAGATTTTGTTGTAAAATTGTTATTGTTAATGTTAATCTTGCCAGTGTTAGTTGTTCCAGATTGTTAAAGATCTCCCATTTTGGTTACTAACCCTTCATGGTTTTCCTGGTTGTGTTTTCCATAGTATCTTCTTGAAAGAATTGGAAAAGTATGAAGCTATGCCGGAGGATGTAGGCCATTGCTTTGTGACATGGGTAAGAGTCAATCCTCTCTGATTCAGAAAAAGAGAGAGCGTATTTTTACATACATGTAGCAGTGATGAGTCTGTTGTAGAAACCAGTGTGTACATGGTTCATGCAGGTTGTTTGCCGGAGGCACGGAGCATGTGCAACCCATTTCTGATCCAATGTACAGCCTTCTTGTTTGCACCACACATGCATGGGCCTGGTTAAAAAACTTCCTGCCAATTTGTCTCTTCTTTGAGGGCGCCCTTCAATTCAGGCACATGTAACTTTTTCTTCTCAGTATTGACTTTTGTGTCTATCAAAGACAACAGTTGTGAAGCATCCTTGATTCTGGAGTTTTACAGATTCTTGTCATGCATGTGGTTGTTTTGTAGGCGGACAAATTTCAGATGTATGTAACATATTGCAGGAACAAGCCAGATTCTAATGCCTTGTTGATGGATCAAGCAGGAACTTTCTTTGAGGTAAGTTGACACAGGTGAAATGATCACACCACATTAAAGATCCTAGTGTCATGTTGTTACTGAATGGTTTGCCAATAATCCACCCTAACCGTGTTAGAGAATGTTTACCAGAAATTGAGAAATTGTTAGTACAAACAAAAAGTACTGTTATGCTTGTTTCTTGTTTCTGATGACCATGTTTGTATACTCCCAAATGTACTTCCATTTAAATGCCTCCAGGTAATTCAGCAGTAGCTAAGGCTTCTCTGCAAGTTTCACCCTTGGTATTTGTGGTGTTTTTTATTCATAAATTTACATGGTGTTCTCTGAGAAAAATGCCCTGCCGAAACTTAGAATACAAATTTGATTACTTCTAAAAATCAGTAAAAGGGCATGTAATGAAACTCCATTTTTGACCAATAAATCAAATAATTATAATAACTTTAACAAGCCTTTCTGCCAGTTTTCATCTATAAATTGTTTTTGAATGATATATTTTACTTGCAGGAGATCCAAAAGAAGCATGGTTTAGGGCTGTCAGTGCAGGCCTACATCATCAAACCAGTCCAAAGGATCACTAAATACCAGCTTTTACTCAAGGTACAATTCCTTGCACTGCTACTTCCCTGCTTGACATCTTTTTGGAGTCTGTTGGCTTCGTGTATAGTACAATACAGGACAATGACACAGACATGACATCTCACAGACCTGATACTGTGTGTTTGTGCATGGTGTAGAATGTGTACAGCCAATATTCATTGAAATACATGGTCTTTATGTGGACAGTTGGCTGCAGCTTAAACAATCTGTCTTGACTCGAAGCTTCTTTATCATTGAGTCCAGTCTCATGGTAATTGAAAACGTTCTTTCATACAAGAATGCTGTGCAGTTGGTAATTAAAACACTTCAAGGTTTTCAGAGAGTCACCATCCGTCTGTAAGTAAGCCTGTTATAGAGTACCGATGTGAATGTCACAAACTCAAGTATGTGAGAAAAGGCATTAGCACAAGAACCAGCGCATGAACCAGCACCACACGCCTACTCCATTCCTTTGCACTAGGCTCTCTGGTTCAAATGATGTCACGTTTCGGTACTGTATATTCTTGTTAATGAGAAGATTTTCAGGAATTTACTCTCATTCTAATCTAATCTGCCATGTGTCAGTCTTCTGTTAGGCCAAGTGCTCCTTTCCACGAATCAAGAGTTGTACAATAATGTCAGAGCTGTACCATCTAATTCAGAATTGTCACAGGTGTGCACACCACCATCTTGTCATACTCTATGAGACAATTGATACAGAATAGAAACATTACTGGTGCCGTTATGTGTCCAAGTGGGATAGTTTTAAAGGTTTGAGCCACAGAAATTGCATGGTCTTATTGGAGTTGATTCTCAGAACCTTGGGCTTTGAACATTTTCCTTGTTACAAAGAAATTGTCAACTATAAAATGTTTGTGTGGATTTCTTTTTGTTGTAGGATTTATTGGCATGCTGTGAGGAAGGCAAGGGAGAGATCCGGGAAGCTCTTGAAGTCATGCTGATGGTGCCCAAGAAAGCCAACGATGCCATCCATCTAAGCATGCTAGAAGGCATGAATGTAAGTACACACTGCTGGCTTATTGGTCTGTCTGCTTCTTTGTGTGATGTATTTTGAGGAGAGCAAACCCTTACTGTAAGAGAGATCTTGTAATTAGGGGGTTATCAATGTACCTTGTTCCACCCTAGGGTAACATGGATGTGAATGGTGAGGTGATTCTCCAAGACTCTTTTCAAGTCTGGGATCCCAAGCAGATTTTCCGTAAGGGTCGGGAGAGACACATCTTCCTCTTTGAACTCTTCCTGGTCTTCAGCAAGGAGGGCAAAGACAGCACTGGCAAGAACAAGTACATCTTCAAGAGCAAGCTGGATGTAAGTCAGAGTGACTTGACCGTTTCTCACTGCCCCCACAAGTTCCACAGTTTATTTCTGTATTGTGGACAGTTTATTTCTGTATTGTGGACAGTTTATTTAAGTATTGGGATCAGTACAGTACGTTCAAAGTACAGTACGTTCAAAGTACAGTACGTTCAAAGTACAGTACGTTGCATTTGAAAGTTGACGCTGCGAAAAGGAATGGGAAAAAAAGCGCATTCGCATTTTGACCACAACTTTTCCCCCCTGCGAATTCGCAGCGAATCGGATGCGAAAGGGTCGAACGACGTGCAAAAACAGTGCGAAAATCGTGCGAAAACGGTGCAAATCTTTTGTGAACACGTCGTGAAACATTTGCAAAAACATTGAGAAAAAAAACAGTGTGCGAAAACAGTGTGAAAATTTTGCGAAAGTGGTTCGAAAGGTTCTGAAAATCATGCGGAAACTTGCGAAAACGAGAAGCATTGTGCAGCGAAAATGCTCAACACTTGCCACACGCGCACAACTATTATGCAGTGAAGAGTCCATAACGCAGGCTGTGCTGCGCTCGGGGCCGGCCAGGTCAACTCACCACATGGAGTGTGCTGTTGTAGTCTAGTAGCGATTTCCTCAGCCAAGCTGTCCGGTCCATGCAGCGCAATTGCGGGGATGTGCTCACTACAGCGACCCGCGCTTGCGTGGCGCAGTTGTTTTCTTGGATTACCATAGATAAACATTCGTCAATATCGTAGAATAAATGTTTAAAAAGTTGTCTGGATGTTAAGTGATTATTAAAATTGGAGTCCCCAAGTCATGAAGTCACGAAGCACATAAAATGTGTGTATTACAATAAACTTAACATGCTCGGCTGTGGCGACATTGATTATTTGCCCACTTTTTATTTATTTTCATGGTGTAGTTTGGCACACAAAAAAATCAACAATGAAATACTACATGCATTATTTTGTTACCGAAAAGTTTCTTACAATCTACGAATAAAATAATTGCTTAAATTGTATGTGTATCTTCATGTAGCAAATCTCGTCTTTTCGCCGATTGTGTTCGGTGTGACATATGGGGTCAGTTTTAACTTGGGTTTCTGATGACATGTTACTTTCTGTGGTCACATGGTTATTGGAAAAAGTCAGCGATTGGACTATCCATGAATGGGCATGCAGTAGCAGTCAGGATGTCGCGGTAGGTGTAGATGCAGTGTGTGCTTCGTTATGCGGTGCGGCATGCACAAGGTCCCGTGGCGGTTTTTGAAGAGATTTGGTAATTTTTTTGATCGGCATCATGAAAACGTCGAGATAACCAGATACAAGGCATTTATTCCGAAATCACGGTACATACATTTGCCAATACATGTAAACATAATTTACATACATGACAACATGTGGATCCATGTTCATGTACATGTGCACATATGCGGTGCACATGTTGAGCATCCATCCAAGTGGGTTAATTTAATTTGTAAATGCTTATAACTTATAATATAAGACATGTTAGAGAGCACTATAACTGCAATTTACTGTAATTCAGCTGTTTGGTGTTCAGTGCTTGTCTCCAACCTCCACCATAACCAGCTTTGATTTCTCCTGTCACACTGTATTTTGCTCAAGACCGAGAAACATACTGCTTTGAAATTTTAATGCTGTCTTCCTCAAGTAATCTGAATATTCCTGAGAATTGAAGAACTTTTCTCTTAAACTGATTTTCCTCCACTTTCCATATTCAGAGATGCACATGTTTGAAACCACAGAGAACAAAAACTTCCTGATGTCTACATGTAAATGCACAAATACTACTAAATGAAGAAAGCTTGCAAAATTATTTCCCCACAACCAGAGAAAATCTGTGAAAATCTTTTCCTACTTGTGGGAAAATCTGTGAAAATCATTTCCCACTTGTGGGAAAAATCTGTGAAAATATTTTCCCACTTGTGTGAAAAGGTGTGAAAATATTTTCCCACTTTTGGCACACTTTTCACAATTTGTGAAATGAAAAGGAATTCCCTGGGAAGAGAAAAAATGTTAAAAAAATTTTCCCATTTTGGTGTTAACTTTCAGTCACAATGTACTGTACATGTATTTCTTTTGCCATTGTTAAAAAGATTAAATACCATGTTGATAATGTGTACATAACCTTAAAAATACCGAAGGCTCAAAGTGAGTGATAACCTCCAAAAACCAGAAAAGAATATCCTGAGGTATAAGCATATCCTAAGATTCAGATGTAGATTTATCTAAAGAGTAGTCGGAAATGGGAATCAAGTTGGATTGTAAACTAGCAATGATGCGAGAAGTTGTCTTTTGCTGTTGCTTTCTTGGAAGCTTCAGATGGTAACCTTTAACTTATCCTGACCCAGCATTAGCATCCTCAGTGGTTTCCTGTTGTGCTTTATCCAGTTAGTGGTTTTCCTCATTACTGGTAGGGAGCTCGCAGCTAGCTCTGGGTGATGCAGACGGCGTCCCATCAGCCTCATCCCCTGCTCCCTAACCTTAGAAGATACTCTGGACAGCAGGTCATAGAGCTAGATGATCGACACATGGCCATCAAGTGCCATCCGTAGTTTCCTTGTGTAGATACTGTCAAGAGCTTTCCTTGTGCTTGGTGTCCCACGTCTACATTTCTTCTTCATATAGGAGTACAGATCTAACTGTAGCAACAAACAGATATGTTTTAAGGCTGCCTTCATTGAGACCGATCTTGACACCTTATGCCATGAGTGGCCTTCCACGCCAAGGCTCTCCTCACTCTCATCTTGTCTTCAGTCGATCCTCTGAGGGTTAGGGGTTTAAACTCGTCAGCTACCCAGTGTAGCACAGTCTGTGGACTTGATACTGACCTTCAAGTTGAATGCCATTAAGTTGGTCTATTTTTAGTTGAGCTGCGGCCTTCATTGGTAGCTCTTAAGCTCCCCGGCTGCAAGCAATTCTTGTGCTTGGTCCACTTTGGATACAAGACAGACGTTGTCAATGAAGTCCAGGTCAGTGATCTCCACTGCTTTCACTTTTCGACTTCCGCACCTGGAGTCTGAAGTCCAGCTTCTCCTTTCACTCAGCTGCATGCCTTATCACATAGGTCAATACGAGCATCAACTAGAAGGCCGCTAGCATGTCGCATACAGAACTTCAGCCTGGATCTCCAAGGGGTCTGTGGTACCATCTGCTATGACTACTGTTGGTGCATCTTGCTATAGCCCATAAGAATTGCCATCACCACCTTCTGTGGGACAGATAAGGCACTAAGGATCTCAAAAAGCTTGCTTCGGTAAAGTTTCAGGTGCTTTTTTAAAATCGATGAATGTGATGAAATAGTGTAACTAACTGTCATAGAGCACATGGCAGACAGTAAAGGCCAGGCAAGTCTAGTCCTCTGTGTGGGACTATCAAGAAGAGGTTGATCACATCCAAGGATGGATTCAAGGCGGCCAATTGGGCCATATGCCCCCTCCCCTCCAAAAAGAGCCACAAATATTTTGTTAACGATAATTGAAGATACATGTACATGGAGGTTCCTTTTATGGCCTATTTCATCCCCTTCCTTCAAAAAGTGTGTTAAAAGCTCCAAAATGTACATATACTTAATAGCCTTAGCCTTCAGAAAGGCAGTAAAATAAATAAAGTTTGGCTTCCTCCCTCCCAAAAAAAATTGGCTCTGAATCTCTTTGGTTGCATTACTGGTTAGTAATAGTCTTAGACACTGCAATATACTTGTACAACAAGGAACCAGGATCCTGAGCTGTGGTGCTTCACCAATGAACTGAAGCATCAAGCAGCAAACTTTATTGATTTTGCTCACAAATTGTTCATCCTGACCAAGATTTGATTGTAATTTTTTGCAGACATCAGATCTTGGTATCACAGAGCACATAGAGGGTGATAGCTGTAAGTTTGCTTTGTGGACAGGGAGTACACCATCCTCGGACAACAGAATAGTACTCAAGGTGAGTAGAGAATTCAAAACAGAAAGACAGGTTGTGGCAACAATCCTTACAAAGTGTACTTTCTACTTGTTCGAAATGAAGTTGTACTTTTTCTTGATCTTTGATTGTATACATATATTATTATTAGAATTGCTTTCAACTTCACATCAAACTGTATCTTTCTGAGCATCAGAATACATGTATTTATTGTTGAGGTCTATAGGCTTTTTTTTCTCATTGCCTCAACATTCAATCTTTTCAAATGCTTGCATACAATTCCGGACATCTTATACATTTTAGAAATAATCCAAAATGTGCCCAAATGCACAACTTAAATATGCCAATGCCTAATATTAGTAACCAAAGACCCGAAGCTAATCATGGTAAATGCAATAACATTGCAGTGACATGTCATTGTTGAAGTTAATTTTCCGTAGACCCATTCTTGGATTTCCGCTAGAAATCATATGGCCTGATTTTTAACCTGAACGTGTATTTTTTCTCAAGATGTTACTTCTTTGAGACACATTTTCACGTTTATTTCAGCTGCAATTTTATTGTATATTTCTAGATATAAACAAATTTCTGTCCAAGCAGAATCTTTTGCCCAGATTTATTATTCAGAACCATGCATCACCCTGTCAGCATCCACCTTGTTGTGTCTGCAGAAATTCCCCCACCTTAACCCTTTAAAACCTTCTTCATATTCATCTTTACTTCCCATTGCACACACCTCCATTGCCTGGGCTCAGTAGACATGTTCATTATGCTTGACTTGACTGTATAAGGCATTATGCAATTCATCGTCTGGTCCGTCTGTGATAGGAAGCCTTCATTTATAGAGCCTTGTTCAAACCATGTGATTTTATTTTCACTCCTGACAATTAAATTGGGAGTCCAATTACTGTCCATTAGATTAGAGCACTGCAAAACTTGTCTGTCTGTGAGAGGCCAGCCAGCCGTATTGGAACCTGACCCAGTTACAATTCTTATGAGCATTAAAGGGCTTGCCCAGTTGGTAATACAATTGCTGTGAAGGTTGGTCAGCCACTTTGAAATCCGTAGAAGGTGCAATGCTTGTTATCATTAAAGGTTTGCTAAATTTGAAATACAGTGGCAGTTGCTAATGAAGGTTGGTCTGCCCTTTGTACCTTAGACAGCAACAACATTCTTGAGCGATTTAAAGAAATGGGAGGAGAGAATCCCCTTCCCTCTTAAAAAAAATAATAAATGCTAAAATGGTGATGCTTCATTTTTTAGCAATTAGTTTGATCACATACAAAATGCTGCTGCAAGCCTGCTTACTGGTCAAAAGAAAGCAGCTCAACTATTAATCCACTGACCAGTGGAATTTGTCCAGATTGTACTCCTCTTATTCAAATCACTTCATGGCTCTGCACAACTCTGCTTTCAGAACCTATTACAACATCACACTCTGCACAACTCTGCTTTCACAACCTATTACAACATCACACTCTGCACAGCTTTGCTTTCAAACCTATTACAACATCACACTCTGCACAGCTCTGCTTTCACAACCTATTACAACATCACACTCTGCACAACTCTGCTTTCACAACCTATTACAACATCACACTCTGCACAGCTCTGCTTTCACAACCTATTACAACATCACACTCTGCACAGCTCTGCTTTCAGGACCTATTACAACATCACACTCTGCACAGCTCTGCTTTCAAACCTATTACAACATCACACTCTGCACAGCTCTGCTTTCACAACCTATTACAACATCACACTCTGCACAACTCTGCTTCCAAAATCTATTACAACATCACACTCTGCACAGCTCTGCTTTCAAACCTATTACAACATCACACTCTGCACAGCTCTGCTTTCACAACCTATTACAACATCACACTCTGCACAACTCTGCTTTCACAACCTATTACAACATCACACTCTGCACAGCTCTGCTTTCAGGACGTATTACAACATCACACTCTGCACAGCTCTGCTTTCAGGACCTATTACAACATCACACTCTGCACAACTCTGCTTTCA